AGTGATACACGGACACAGAGTGGACGAGTCTCAGCTCCTAACTGCCGACTAGGGGCCTGGCGGGTGTCGTGTTTTCTCTGTCCGCTTTCCCTGCTCATCCAGGTGGAAAGCAGCTGCCTGAGCGCCAACCTCTCCACCCCTCTTCCTGCTGCCAAACACTGGGACCTGGGCCTTGATGGGAGGGGACAGGTGCAGAGCAGCGGGGTTTAGGGGCAGGAGAGCAGAAGAGCATATGACATGAGCTCAGCGGGAGAGTCTGTGCAGGGGAGAGGGGCTCTCTCTAGGGGATATCAGAACTGTGGGAGATTGGAGAAGAGATGGGTCATGTCAGTGTGTGTGTGTGTTATGGATTGAAATTCCTTTCATATGATTTTGGGGGAAGGACATTAACGACTTAATTATTAGTAGTAGTCATTTAACAAATTATTTATTTATTTTACTTGGAGGCTAATTACTTTACAATATTGTGGTGGTTTTTGCCACACACTGACATGAGTCAACCATGAGTGTACATGTATCCCCCATGCTGAACCTCCCTCCCAGCTCCCTCCCCATCCCATCCCTCAGGGTTGTCCCAGGGCACCGGCCCTGAGCGCTCTGTCTCATGCATCAAACCTGGGCTGGTGATCTAACCAAGACTGTGTGTGTCTATACAAAGATTGGACCACAGGGTTGGGAAGATATAGGGTCTGCTTACCTATTCTTCCATTTCTCTATACATCCAGTTTTACAGCCTCAGTAAGTTAGTGTGAGCATTCACCCAGCAAGCCGCAGAGAACACTGCCAGGGGATAAGTGTGGAGAGATGGTTAAGAGGCCCACATGTGGAGCCAGAAGTTCAAGTCAGTCTATCTGGAGCTTTGGTGGGAGTGAGAGGTGGACAGACTGCTTGAGGGTCCACTCTGGCTTGGGTGTGGGTCAGCTTTAGCAGCTTCAGGAGGGCTAAGGCTCCCTCTTGGCTTTTGGCTGTTTCCCTGCCCATCAGCGGTCAGGATCTACCCCGCATGTGTGTTGTGCAATGCTTTGAGGCCACCTTGGCTCCCGGTGTAAGTGAATATCAGTCATTTCTGTAGACTGTGCTGTCAGGCAGTGTTTCCTGCTTTTGAGGACAATGTTCTGTGCTCTCCTGGAGCGATTATGCTAGCGGCTCTTCTGATGGATAATGCCAACTCTGCAGTCCAAGCCGAGGTCACTTGGCACTCTGTCTCCTGGATGTGAAAGGAAATAGTTCCACACTGATGGTTAGAAAAACAATAGGTGTCCAAATGGGTCTGATTGCAGAGGTTGGCTGTGTTTTCAGCAGAGTCCAGGCTCCTGGATGTCCCAGGTATGATAGGTTTAAGGCAGTGGCAGTTACAGTCTTCAGGGCACAGGTGTTCAGCGAACACTTGCTGACTTGAACTGAAGGGGGGCTTTGTGGTTTAGCTCCCTAAAATGATGTTTAAATGACTGCAGCCTCCGAGGCAAAGCAGTAGAAGCTGAGACCATGAGCCAGGGCCCCACACAGGTGTTGTTTGAAATTGATGGCATACGTGTTGCTGCCACTGGGAGCTAGAGCTAAGAGGGATCTAGAGAGTACCTGTGTGGCTCTGCACCTCCACTTTCTTATCTGTAAAGTGGGATGCTAGGAGTACCTCTCTTATGGGGCAGCTGCAAGAAGCCAGGGAAGGGAGGCAGTCTGCTCAGAATCTGCATGGTGTCCAGAAGCAAGCAGGCTGTGACTCTGGGTTTCCTCTTCCAGTTCTAAGAACTCCAACTGGTGTTTTCTCAACTACAGCTTGTGTTATAGTGTGCTCTGGCAGAACCCCACTAATGGCTTCACTTTGTTCCTAGGCAGGAAGAGAAAACGGCCACTTGAGTGGAGCAATCTTTGTGCTCATTTGGAGCAAGATTCCTGCTCTGCATGCTCATTTCCCAATGCATTTGCTGCTGTTATTGTTGTTCAGTCACTAAGTCATGTCCGACTCCTTGCAACCCCATGGGCTGCAGCATGCCAGGCTCCCCTATCCTCTACTATCGCCCAGAGTTTGCTCAAATTCATGTCCTTTGAGTTGGTGATGCCATCCTGTCCACAGGGTTCTCCAGGCAAGACTACTGGAATGGGTTGCCATGCCTCCCCTAATGGACCATGTTTTGTCATTTTAAGTGGCCCTACATGGCATGGCTCATCACTTCACTGAATCACACAAGGCTTTTCGCCACAATGAGGCTGTGATACATGAAGGGACATTGGCTACTCCTACCCACCAAATAGCCCTCCTCCTGTTCTCACGTCCTTTCCTGTTAATTCCATTTTTCTCTGTTTTGTCTTCTCTGATGCTTCAAAGTACCATGAACCAGGCCACACAGATATAAGCAGCACTCCACAGAACAAGGACCTCTCCAGCCCCTGACAAAGGCGATGTGTGATTCCCAGCAGTGGGGCAGCCACTCTGAGACATGCCATCACTGGTTGCCCCGTGTGAGCTGTGGGCACAGTGACAGGGCTGTGAGCTAGAGGGGCTGGGCCCACGGCCTGGAACTGGGGCCCCAGGAAGCCTCTCCTGCTGTCCAGCTGGCCACTGGCGTGGCCTGTCTGGGGTGGCATCTGCTCTGTCTGAGGTCACGTTAAAGCACAAGGAAAGGGTTCTGTTTCAAAGGAAGGAATCAGGAGCACTCTGCATGCAACCAGGGGCCCTGGAAGAGCAAAGCTGGGATAACCCAGGAAGCTGGCATGCAGGAGAAGCAGGACGGTAGGACCAAAGATGTGGAGGTGGACCTGTGAGATGGTGGGGAGGGGAGATGGAGGGAAAAGAACATCTTTGTGTACCCAGGGGCCAGGCATTGATTCAGCATTTTTGTAGAGATTTCATAATAGGTCTGGGGAGCAGGTGTTTTTCCCTAGCCTAATTGAGGTATGATTGGCAAATAAAGATTGTTTTTATTTAAGGTATACAACATGATGTTCTGATATACATTGTGAAATGATCACAGCAATCAAGTTAATTAACATATCCATCACATCACATAGTTACCATTTCGTGTGTGTGTGGTCAGGACACCTATCTCAGCAGATTTCCAGTAAGCAATACATCATCATTAGCTATCACAGTTTGCATGTGACGACCTATGCAGAGAGGAGCTCAGAGAGCTAAACCTGCTTCCAAGGGCGCCCCACCAGACCACGAGTGTCTGATTTCATAGAGCCCTCCCCTGACTCACCCGCAGCTTTGGCCAGGATGCTGCCTTCCTCATCCCTTCTTGGAGGAAAGGCCCTTTTGCTCCGGTTTACATACAGACTGTTGGATTTTCTGTCAAAGTCGTCCCAGACCCGGGAGAGCCTGTAGCCTGCAAGCTCATCCTCAGTTATACCAACATGTTTCTTTCTCGCTCTCATAAATTGCCCTCAGTAGAACAGGGCCTTTCTTTCTGATCTAAACCCTGCTGCTCTATTGATTGCTATAATTCAGCCCTAATTGGACTTCTGCAAAGCCACAAGCTCAGACAGCGGGCTTCTTAGTGGTACAGCATCCATTATTAATGTGCCAGTGCTGGCCTTTCCCCCACTGCCTGCTTTCACCTCAGGAGCTCTGGAAAACAGCCCGCTGAGTAATGTGGCTTCCCTGTGAATTCACCTCTTCAGGATATTTGTTTCCTCTTGAAGGAGAAGAGGGATGCAAACCACAAAACTAGCAAACAGCTCTTTAATTGCCTCTCTGTTGGCCCAAAGAATGGTCTGGGCTAGGGAGGATGCTCAAACCCTCTCAAATCTAAGATATTGAGCTCTGTAAGTGGCAGAGTTGCAAGGTAGCCTTGGACAGGCCCGAGAGTCAGCCAGGTTCAAGAAGCCAGTAGGACAGACCCAGAATCTGTACCTGGTCCCTGTTGGGTTGGCCAAAGGAGAAAGGTCACAATGGGCCAAACATGTAACACAACCAACTTGAGGTAGAGAGGAACCACATTCTGTGGGAAGAAACAGAACAGACTCATCATCAGGACAGATCTGGGAAGCTCACTTCCCAATGAGATCTTGGAGACAAGTGAAGTGTTTCATGGCCCCCCAGGAGTGCAAATGCCAGGATGTATGTCTGACAGACCCTGCTTGGCAGCTCGCCCAGGTAATGGTTCTGGTTAGACAGCCATGGGCTGAGCCTCTCCATGTGGAGGCAGGCATCAGTGCAATGTGAGAGTCGGGTTACTGGGGTTCAGCTGCTTCAGAGATTCAAGAAGGGCCACACTTCGTGTGCCTCCGAAGGCTGGGGCTCCTTCCCTGCCCACCAGAAGTGAAGTCAGGGGGCCACCATGGATCTGGATGGGTGGGGGCTTCAGGGAAGCTGCATGAGTTGCTCAGATACTGAGAGGAACAGGGACAGGCTAGGAGCAGACCGAGCCCAGCTCACACTCTGGGGGCTGTTTGTTCTACAGACTATACACCCACTCTCCCCTAATACTGGCAGTCAGAAGACAGAGCAACCACTCTTCATTCTGCACCGCTCAGTCACTTGACAAACCTTGATTTCTGGCATGAGCTTCCCGGGTGGCACAGTGGTAAAGAATCCACCGGCCAGTGCAGAAGACACAAGAAGACATGAGCTTGATTCCTGGGTCAGGAAGATCCCCTTAAGTATGAAATGGCAACCCACTTCCACAATTTTGATTGGGAAATTCCGAGGAGGGAGGTGCCTGATGGGTTCAATGTTTGGGGTCCCAAAGAGTTGGACACCATTGAGCGACTGAGCACACACACATGCAATGTCTGGCATACTCTGGCAGATTCTGGGGAAATAACAACAGGTAACATTGACAACATGCGCCCTCCTGTAGTTTGCATGAGTGTGGGAAAGGCAGATGCTGAAAGTCAGCAAACACACAGATGAGGGCTTCTACAGTGTGAGGGCTGGGAGACGACTAGCAGGGGATTGTGCCAAGGGCCTGGAGGGCAGGTCTCCCCTAAACTCGTCTTGCATCTTCAGGCATCTTGAGCAGGGGTAGCCCCAGGCTTCCGCCCTTAGTGCTGCCCTTATGAGGGCTTGTTGCAGAGTCTGGCCCTCGCTGGCATTCCTGCAGTTTGCTCTCCACAGGGAGGATGGAGCAAGCGGTCAGAAGGGCCCTGCGGAGGTCCTTTCCTTCACTAAGCTGGCGCAGGACTCTCATTCCCTCGCACGCCGCACGTCCTGGGCTCGTTTTGCAGTGCATGCAGGAGCCCCTTGGGAACGCAGTCTGTGCAGGCAGCCTCTGCCTTTCTTCAGTGCCCAAGAAGTACTTAGTAAGTGAAGCCGCGATGAGAGAGGAGGGGACAGCGGTGCAAAGGGAGGCTGGGGGTGAAACCCTGTCTCTGCAAAACACTGCCTGCCAAGATGAATAGCTATCCTCGCCCCTTCCCAGGGGTTGTGAACCAGTGCGTGCCCCCTGCCGCAGGCGGCCTCAGACCCTCCCGCCTGCTGGCGTGCCTCTGCTAGAAGCTAGGACTGCTGTCTGCACTCTCTTCTCAATCTACCCAGCTGGGGCCCTGGCCACTCTGGCAGGACCTGTCGGCAGCTGAGTTCTTTGCGCCTTTCTCTTCTGCCTCCCTGTTCCTTCTGGAGTGAATGTCTGCCTGGGTCAAAATGCAGATCTCAATCTCAGGGCCACAAGTGTGGGGCAGGGGTCTTCTGTTGATTTCTGGAGAGTGAGGGGTGGCGTGCCCCTCCTGCCTCTTGCATGGGCCCGAGTTTTGCTATCAATCAGCTTCCTTCTTTATCTTTGCATAGTAGTCCCGATTGTCATGTCAGGTCAAAATCTCCAATTCTCTGTTAGAAAAATGAGCTTCACCTCCCTTCTAGTTCTGTTTCTCTTGGGGAGGGGCACAGGGCAGAACTGGGAAGAAGTGAGCCCTCTCTCCCAGTCTCCCCACCCTTGGGACCCCCCTATCTTACCTGCGTCCCCGCTGACCAGTTGCCTCCCCAGCCTTCCCCGCCACCTCCACCCTCTATGCTGGAGGCCTCCACCTCTGTGCTCCTCATTCACGTTGGAACCAGTCCCCAGGCCTGTCCATCCTGCCTCTCAGCGTCTTGCTCTCAGTGGGGCGGAGGCCACTGGCCGCTAGCATGAGCCATGGGACACAGTCCCTGGTACCACACCCCAGCCAGGGAGCTGCCAGCCGTGTGTGCTTTGGCAGTTCTGTTGGCCTCCCCATGCCTCTGTTTACCCATCTGGAAAGCAGGGTAACTCAAGAGGTGGTGAGGCTGAGGAGGTGAGGCAGAGCCTGGCGAGTGTGGGTGCCACATGGGGTCCCTGGCCCATCCTGCGTTCTCTGTTTCTGTCTCTGTTGCCCCGCCCTTGCTCAGGCTCCTCTCCTTTGCCTGGACCATCTCTGAGCCTCCCAACAGATCACCTCCCACGTCACATCCATCCCCTTCACCCGGACATTTTCCTTGCCACTTCCAGAGAGCTTGTCTTCCTGCCACTTGAGACCTACTGCCAGCTCCCACTGCCTGTAGGACACAACCTCAATCCCACATGCAGGCGCCTGCACCTCTCCCCAGCTCCCCGTGCGCACCGCCCTGACCTCAGAGAGCCTCCCAGAATGCTGGGCTCCAGGGTGACCCTAGCTTGCCTCGGCATCATCTGCGCGGAAGCCAGTGTCTGGCTCTTGGCTTCTGTAGGTAAATGTTGTGTGATGAGTAAAAGGCACTTTCCTTTAAGTGTCACTGAGTGAACAAACTAGATGAAATCTATGTACTTTGGAAGCAAAAACAAACAAACAAAAAAAATGCAATATTTTTGATGCCAGAAAGATTTTTCTACCTGAGCTGTTTGGAAATCTCACAGGGCTGCCTGCTCACTCTCTTCCACAGGACTTGCCCTTTGTGACCTGCCTCTCTTAGGCTGTTCTCATTCTCAGACTGCGCTTCCTTTTGTCTGCAGCTGAACATCTAGGCCCCTCTGAGGCCATCACCTCCTCTCTGAAGGCTGTTCTGTTTCCACAGGCCTCCACACAAGTGTGTGCATGACACCACATTTGAGGGACAGGGCTTTGCAATGACTGAACACCATCTGAAGCCACTTTGTCTCCATTTAAAACTAGGTTCCACTCCCTACCAGCTGCGTGAGTTTCTTAACCTCTGTCTGTCCTCCACGTTAGTGATGGAGGCCTTACATCACCGGTGTTCTCAGAGGTAAGTCTGTTCATAGATTTAATATGCTTGTTTCTGTTCCTGGCATATTAGTGCTATTTAAGCTTTTGCCATGTTATTTAAATAAGGTGTTTTTTGTGTCTCTCTCCAGAAGGCTGAGACAGTTTGAGTGGCCAGGTCTTTTTGGCAGCAGGCTCTCTGCCTCTCTGCTCCTAGGATGGAGCTATGTACAGTAAGCGTTGGGAGAGTGTTGGCTGGAGATGCAGAGAAAGGTCCAGACGCGGGTGCGACCAGCGCTGTGGAGAGCTGGGCCCAGGCTTTGCTTCTGGGACCTGGTCTTGATCTCAGGTTTGGTGTGTGGACATCACACGCGGCCCCAGGAGGAGCTGCCCAGGATCTGGGCTTCTTGCCAGTGTGGACACTGAAAGCTGCTTCCAGTCTGATGAAGAAATCTTACCCAAGCACCCTGGGTCTCTGCTGGGGACACTCATCACCTTTAGGACAAGGTCACCAAAGTGTGTGAAGTGGCCTGCACGGTGCCCGGGGCTTGTCCGTTGCCCTGTGAGGACCCGCAGCTTCTCCCCCTCACCCCCCTCCCCAACTAGGCAGTGGGCACCCGTGTTTCCTTCAGAGGAGGAAGGCTCGATCCCAGGGCCTCCAGTGTCCATACCCTGAGGCGGAATTTGTCCACCCACACTCAGAAACCAGGGAGGAACTGTGGAGGGTAAGGGGCTGCTTTCCACCTTTCCAAGCACGTCTCTGAGCTCACTCCAGGGAATCAGGGGCACAGTGGCTGGGGGCCGCGGCTCGGGCTCTGCAGGAGACAGGCGAGCAAGTGAGGTGCTGGGAAGGACGGCAGGACCTGGGGACCCTCGGGTCACAGTGGCAGGAGGGGCCGCCTCAGGCACACACTCCTGACTCACACGCCTCCTCCTCGTGAGGGAGCGGGCCTGGGCCTCTGCTCCCCTTCTGGGCTGAGCGCGCGGGAGTCTGCTCTGTGCAGACAGGGCGAGTCTGGGTGAGCAAAGATGCGGGTCCAGTGCCCAGCAAGGGGACCCGATGTCCCCGTTAAGTGGGGGAATCTGGCAAAGCAGAAGGAAGCCCTCTGACAGCTATGCAGATGGTGAGGGACGGGGAGACACGCCCAGAAGCCCTTGGAGTGTCAGCGCCAAGCCCTGTCCAGCAGAGGGAGGGAGGGAGGGAGGGAGTGAAGTTGCTCAGTCCTGTCTGACTCTGCAACCCCATGGACTGTACCCTACCAGGCTCCTCAGTCCGTGGAGTTTTCCAGGCAAGAGCACTGGAGTGGGCTGCCTTTTCCTTCTCCAGCAGAGGGGGCTCAGGGCCAAGCTTTCACATGTGCTGCTGCCTGCCCTCTTCGCTGTTTCCTCTGGAATGTGGAGTGAGAAGTCCTTCCTGTGAGAGCCATTCCTGTACAAGCTGGGACACTTAGCATCCCTGAAGCCTGTCCACTCTAATGCCAGTAATGTCTCCTTCCTGCCCCAAGGGTCACTGGCACAGCCACAAACATTGCACAGACATCTGTTTTCCTTTGTCCCCCAAGACAAGAGCAGGACGGGTCATGGGCTCTGCCAATGACTGCACGCCCCCCTCACCCCCCACCCCAGGGCAGCTCCTGAAAGGCAAGGGGGGGGCATCACCAGCAGTGCCGCAGAAGGCGGGGGCCCATTGTTCCAGGAGAGATGACAGCTCCTGGCTCCTGCATCAGGCCCACCTGAAACCTCCCTTTCCCTGAACCCCCAGTGGGACAGTGGACAGTGGCGGGTCCTGGCAGGTGGCAGGGTTGGTCGGGCCAGCACCCCATCTCAAGGCCACAGCAGGCAATGATCCTGACCCAGGGTCTCAGAGCCCGGCCGCCACTGTGGTCCCTGGGAGGGCGTCCCCATCCCGAACTTCTTTCTTGCAGTTAGTGTGACTGCTTGGACACCTTCCAGTCCTTTACCTGGGCTTCTTTAACTTCCTCAGTTTGGACTGAAATGCACAGATGCTCTTCTGTGTGATGTCTTGGCCATCAGTCATGAGGTGATTGCGGTCTTCATCTTGTTGCGCTTCCGGGGCCCAGGAGAGCAGAGCCTCAGGGGAGACAGAGCATCAGAGGCTGGCCACTCCCTCCATTCCTCTGCTCCCCTGGAGCCTCCTCCCACATACGCCGCCCTCCACAGGGCAGGCCCACCCCAGTCCCCTCCATCCTCCACTCCTGGCTTTACTTACCGGATGAACTCTCAGCCCTGTGCCACCGCCAGCTCCCAGCATTCACGCCAGCATCCCCACTGCTGCTCCCAGCCTCCCAGCATTGTCCTGGGGCCCAGGATGTCGAGTTGGTCCGAGGATACCCTCCTCGGTCCTCCGTCCCCTACCAGCCGTCTTCCTCCCTCTTTCTATGAGTTTGTGGGACTCTGACTCCCCTCCCGGGTGAGGTGGGGATGGTACCACAGGGTGGGTGGAGGGCCCAGGCTGAGACCATCACTGCAGTGTTGGAAGGCAGAAAGGAATCACCCTAAAGCCTTGAGATGGCCCCATTTTCCAGAGAGCAGGGAGAAGTTAGGGCAGAGCGGTCCTGGAGCAGAGAGAAAGGAGGGACAGAACTGAAATCATCACATGTAAAATAACCTCATGTAAAAGTCATTAGAACTCTATATCCAAAGCACTCCTGGAGTCAGTCCTGCTTCAAGCCTAGGGCTTTTAGTAACACAAACAACACTTCTCTTTTGTTTGTAAACTTTCCTTTTCTTTGTAAGCCTGCTTAGAGTGACATTGACTGGGGGATCACAGAAATCTTTGAGTAATAAAAGCAGTTTCTAAATGCTGGTCTTTAACTCACTTATTTTCTGCAACATACAGGGTGAGGGTAGTCAAAAATGTTGCACTGCTGGGTTGGGAGATACTAACTGGAAGGAAACGTGACCTCTCTCCGCTCATGATCTCCCCTCCCCTTTCAGTGTCTATGCGGAAGGCTCCATAAATGGGAAGAGGTGATTGTTCTCCCAACTCCCAATCTTATAGCAGGTGGCACAGAAGGCTTTTCCATAGTCTTTTTAAGAAGCTGTGACATGAACAACATTTCTCTAAAGGGGAAAGCAAAGTATCGGAGAGCTTTGCTAATGTTGGTTACATACCCAGGTCTGAAGGCAGGTCACAGAAGCTGACACCCCAGCCCTACCACTGCCTGGACCTTTGACCGTCCCAGAGTCCTATGACTGTGTAAAATGGGGATGGCGGCAGAACCTAACCTGCAGCGTTGTTTCCAGGATCAAATGAGTTGGCATATAGGAGGCATTTAGCCTATTCCTGGCATGTCTTTCCCTGGCTGCCACCTTATGGGGACTTGACCCAGAGACCCTTACACCCATGGCCTCTGTCCACAAACTTGGTGCCAGATTCTGTGCTAGACACAGACTCCACCCAGTCTCATGGGGCTCTAAACCAAACCAAATGGTTTAGGAAACCACATGATGTGTGCCGTGCAGCAAGGCAGACAAACTGCGCCAGCTGGGGTCTTGTGAGGGACACCCTTCAGGATATGCCATGGGAGCTGGCTTAGTCAGAAGGACTGGACCCCAGGGTGTGAGGAAGAAAAAGAGCTGAGTGGACCAGGGCGTGGGTGTGGTGTTGGGGGAAGTGATGGGCAGCCTGCTAGGTCAGTGGGTGGGTGTCTGTGTGTCCAGAGAATGACACTGGATGTTGGTTGCAGATGAGATTCAAGGGTTTTGTTGGTTTGTTTTAATTTTAAAACATCTTTTTTGCTGATATAAAAGTTACAGTGAAACACTTTGGGAAATTAAAAATGAAAGCGACAGTGAAAAACAAATAATGAATGGTCCTACAACTGACCAGAATTTTAGAGCTCTTATTTCTAGAGTTGTGCATCTATGCCATTGGTGACTAGGGAGGGTTGCAGGTCCTTCACCATGAAGGATCCATCCCGCTTGTCAGGGAGCAAAATGAACTTGAAACTGAGGTTCTTCAAGCTCTTCTCTGAGTCAGGACCAGCTTCCCCTCCTACACATACCCTAAAAAGCCTCCTCTCTTCACCTGCCTTCCTCCTCCTTCAGTTCTCACGTCAAACCTTGGCCTCCTTGTGTTTCCACCTTCATCTGACTGACACATCTGTGAGACTGACACAGCTTTCTCTTGCTAATTCATATTTTTTTTTCTCCCAAAGACTCCTCCCATTAAGGGTGGATGGAGCAAGACATTGGGGGTGAAGAAGACCTAATCCCCATTTTCTCCCACTGGTTGGACAAGAATACATGGGGTGGGGAGGAGCAGAGAACTGTGGGCCTCTCCCCTCCCCATTCCCCTCCCTCTCAGAATGCTGAGATGTCAGTGGGGACCTCCACAGTTGTCAGGATAGAACAGGGGCCACTGAAACTTGATTGGGTGCCATTTGGGACCGCTTCACCTAGATGAATCATGGTGGGATTCCAGTGTATCCTGGAGGCCCTCTGCTCCGCATCACTTCACCTGCTGACTGCAGGTTCCAGGTGCTGGCAGAGTCACTGAATTCTGATCACCACCTAGGCAAGTGACCTCTCTTGCATCTGACAGGCTCTTGCTGCAGCAGCCTTCCCACTACTCTCTGGCAGGCAGAATTTTGCAGTGTTTCTACCCTGGGGCTCTTCCATTTCCGGAGTGTCCAACACTAATACATGCTTTCCCCATTTATATATACCAGCAGGAAAGTGAAAGTTGGTGAGATATATAGGCTCAAATCTCTGTGTTACAAAGAAACTTTACAATTTTCTGTAAAAAGAAAAATCAATATTTTATTAATGGTATCTTTAAAGATAAAGTAAATGAACAAAGCCTACCTTTACTATATTGTAGCAGTCATACTCTATAGACCCCATCACTCGCCTAAAGCTCTGAGGACCTCTTGGAGAGTTTGACAGTCACTTCTCTGTCTTGCCAGTTCTGCCCAGAGGGGCTGTGGATTGATCCTCTTGACTGGGTGTGTAAATGGCTACCCCTCAAGCCTCTTTCTTGATGGACCCCTTAGGAAGTTAGCCAATCCACCCTTCTGTGCATGTGGCCAGCCCAGACCCTCTTTGTGTATTGTACTCATCTTGCAGAGAGAAGTCCTTTCTAAAGACTGAAAAACTCTAGTTTAGCTCAGATGGTTATCTGCTTTCTCCTGGGCATGTGACAAAGGTTAAGGTTTGGAAAATCATTGAGTTATTTGGCCTATAATAAAATCTGGATGCTGTCAGTTCTCTTGGAGGTATTTATTTATTACAGGAAATCTTCGGACTTCAAGCACCAATCTGTGTGTACTGACCCCACCTTTGTGAGCATCTTTACAGCTCACTTAGCATGTGCTCTGTGCTGTGCTTATTCACTCAGTCACGTCCGACTCTTCATGACCCCATGGACTGTAACCTGCCAGGCTCTTCTGTCCATGCAGATTCTTCAGGCAAGGATACTGGAGTGGGTTGCCATGCCCTCCTCCAGGGGATCTTCCTAACCCAGGGACTGAACCCAAGTCTCCAGCTTTGCAGGCGGATTCTTTACTATCTGAGCCACCAGAGAAGCCCAAGAATACTGGAATGGGTAGCCTATCCCTTCTCCAGGGGATCTTCTTGACCCAGGAATTGAACCAGGTTCTCCTGCATTGCAGGCAGATTCTTTACCAGTTGAGCTACTAGGGAAGCCCTCACTTAGCACACACAAAGCTATGATGTTATTTGTTCCTTATAGTTTACAGGAGGCAGCTAAAAGCAAGGATTACCAAGCTTACATTATAGACTGAAGGGAAGAGAGATAAAGCAACTCGCCCAAGACTACTCAGTAAAACGCTGACAAAAGTAGGACTCAAATCTAGACCCATGGCTCCTACACCAATTCTATACCAACCTCAGAAAGTTTAGTTAGTAGGAATTAATCCTTTGGCCACCTGATGCAAAGAGCCGACTCATTAGAAAAGATCCTGATGCTGGAAAAGATTGGGGGCAGGAGGAGAAGAGGATGACAGAGGATGAGATGGTTGGATGACATCACCAACTCAATGGACATGAGTTTGAGCAAGCTCCGGGAGGACACTGCCTTCCCTGGTGAAGGGCAGGGAAGCCTGGATCGCTGAAGTCCATGGGGTCACAAAGAGTCAGACAGGACTGAGCGACTGAACTCCAACAACTAGGAATTAGAATTTAGGACTGAGATATTATCTAGAGTATATATTTGACATTAATGAACAATCACCCAGGCTAAACTGTAAAAGATAAATCTCAGTTTTTCAAATCTTATTGACTTAAAACAAACAGTGAAACAACAACAAAAACATCAACGCCCTTATATGCATTTTAGAAGACTTGTAGTGACCAGTGTGGTACCAGAAAGCGCCCACTCAGATTATACCTCAGAATATGGGCTCATCCTACTTTGTTCTCAGGGAAATAGCATTA